CCGCCTAGGCCCGTCTATACTCCCTCGTATACGGTTAGGTGCTAGGTCTTTCTTCGCCGCTTAGTTTGATAATACAGATGAAGATAGTATGAGATTGCGGTATTCTCCGAGAGCCCAAATGGGAAATACGTTTCTATAAGCCGAGAAACTGAGCATACAATTTCGATTGAGAACTCCCATTATCTCCTGTCAAAAAAAGGAAGAAGCAAATATTACTAATCAAGTTGGTGAAGACAAAACACTGTCTATGCATGAATATAAACCATTTTAACTCACCTGTTGTGGGTAGTCTCCATCTTCCATCTGTGAATTAATCAGTGATTTTGCCCCGCGGTGCAATGGCATTGGGTCTCTACTAGCCTAATCAAACCAAATCATGGGTTAAGTTCATAAGTAAACCCACTTGCATCTCAATTGCTAAACCAAAAAGAGCTGCATATCTCACCTGTCCTGCTTCAATTAGAGCCAGAACCGCCCATGATGTGTTCACGATATGCGATCTGTTCCCTGGAAGATTCGTGTATACTTTGTTTTGGCATGAGAGGTAACTCTCTCCCCAACCACTACAAGGAAGTTGCTTGGAGAGTAAGAAATCACAAGCCTTTCTGATACAAACACTAGTCTCATATGTTTTACCACCAGCCAACAAGCCTTTGATCCCAAACCATGTCGCATAGGTGAAACACACTGCCCACGAGCCGTACCTGCAAAGTTTATCAGCTAATTACCTTTTGGGGAAATCACAACATATTAAAGACAAAACACTGACCATGAACCATCAGGAAGCTGTGTTTGCTCAATAAACTCAACTGCTTTCTTGATGCATCTCAGTATCTCTTTCCTCTTATAGATCAGATTGATCCTTGTGAATAGAAAGAGGCCTTGGATTGCAGCCGATGTGCATTCTACGTATCTGCGAATTATCAACAAAAAATGTTGTTGTAGGAAATGGAATTATTCAGGCAATAGTACTAGTTCTCTTCTTACTGGTAATCTATGATGATGTCTCCAAAACTGTCTAATGGATTGATCACCTGATAAACACCAAATGAAAAATCAAACTCCACTCTTATTGTGCATGGAATAAGAACATTAA